AGGAAGACAGGGCAGTCTACTTCGTAGAGATACTGCCTCAGAAACCCAAGAGGGGTAGCTATGAGTTGGGTCCGACTGGATGGCATATAACAACAACAACAAATTGTGCATAGTAATATAAAACACGATACATAATTGCTATACCCATGTAGGAGTCTGTGAGTAGTGCAATCGGTTAAGTGCTGGGCTGCTGAGCTGTTAACCATCCACCTCCAGGTGCCTGAGAAGAAAAGCCTACTGATCTACTTCCAAACGATGACAGCCATTGAAAAACCCTGTGGAGCACAGTTCTGCTCTGAAGCAAATGAAGCAGCCGTACGTAGGAATCATTTTGGTCAACTGGTTTGGGGTTTTTTGGTTTAGAAACATTTACTACATCATCAAGCTTCTACTGATATGGCTAACATTTAGAGTGACTCTCTTCTGAGTGAACCTCTCACAACATTCTCTGAAATAATTTGCTTTTTTCTAAGGGTCCTTGACCTCTCTGATACATCACTCAGTTTATGTGGTGCCTATGCTAAAGTTAGCTTCTTAATAATATTTCACCCCCCAGGATTCAGACCTGTGTGTTATCCAGGTTATCCTCACATCTGGTAAGTTACGTGTTATCTTTTTGATATACAATTTTTTTTTCTGGCAACAACTCTAAGCCCATATAAGTGTTTACAGCACAAGATTACAAAACCACAAGCTTTTATCTTATTTGTTTTTGTAATGCTTTAGTGGCTAAAGCACTTGACTGCTAACCCACCAGCCACTCCTCGGAAGGAAGGTTGGGCAATCCTACTTCCATAGTGATACTGTCTCGGAAACCCAAGGAGGGGTCGCTATGAGTCGGGGCTGACTCGACGGCACATAATAACAACAACAACAACGCTTTAAAAAAAATCCTTTCTCATAGATCTTACTTTTAACAGCAGAATTAAAAAAGGAGCCAAATGATTATCCCCAATTCATTGTGTTGACACCTGAAGCAATCAGGTGTCAGGCAAAATTAAAACTACTACACTCGTTCTTTTCAGACATTATTCTGGGAGCTCTGGTAGCATAGTGCCTAAGGCATTTGACTGCTAACCAGAAGGCTGGTGGTTCAAACCCACCAGCCACTCCTCGGAAGGAAGATGGGGCAATCTACTTCTGTAGTGCTACTGCCTCGGAAACCCAAGGAAGGGTCGCTATGAGTCGGGTCCGACTCGATGGCACATAACAACAATAATTCTGTGAGCAAATTTCTAAGCTCATTCACTTATATAAGCCCAGTTTATTATAGCATATGGCATGGAGCCCAGAGACTTCAACACAGTAGGTGTTTTATGAGTATTTGAAGATCAAAGTCCACCACAAAGTTCTTACTCTGAATTCCTTTCTCTCACCTAACAACTTTTTTTCCAAATAGATTGATTCAATGAATTTCAACCTAGTAGAAGTTGAAATTCAAGTGAAATTTGGCATTAGAGAGAAAGGGAGAAAAGAAATTAATCCCCCTACAAAAACCTCAGAAAAAAATACTAGAATACAGATTCATGCACAACTGCTAAATCTCTTTTAAACATTGACTTGATCGCTTCTGTTCTAATATGTAGAGATTCCATCTTATTCGGATAACTTCTTATGTTTTCCAAATATTCTTTAATCTTTCTTCTGAATTGAGTAACAGACCAAATTTTTTTCTGCTCAAGAAAACTCAGAGTCATATGCCAATATAAATCAGTGTGCAGGTTAAAAGTGCAGCAGTTCTCCACTTGTTTTTCCACCAAAACACAAGTGACATTTAAAGTGTATTTAATATTCAAAGTCTAACAATCTCTCCCCATTCGGGGCTACCACTCTCAGTAAGGGAGGCAGCTGGTTTGCATAAAATTCCCCATAAGATTTCTACAGTCTTGTATTTTCTCTCCCATCTATCCATAAATATACCAATATCATGAATCCACAGTTGAGAAATGCTGCTTCTCTTTTTCTTTTTCTTTTTTTTTTTTTTTTTTTTTTTTTTGCCTTATTTCTGGCTCTGTTTTATATCCTTGCACTTATTTTTCTTTCTTCTTTCACTCCACTTTTAATTTATCCTATCTCGAATTTAATGTAGCCTTGTAAGTCACCTTAAATCCTTCCTCGAATAAGGTAGGGAATAAATAAATAACCATTTCATAATCTGCAAAAGCAATCTCTTCTCATGTATCCTAAACAGAGCCTTATAACTTTAACTCCTTCCTACCTCTTAATATTCTCTGTTGCTTGTATTGAAAATACAAGAATCAAATTCTAGGAATTTCTTCTTTGCTACTTTTATCAAATCTCTGTTCAGAAATATTTAGGGCTGAATACAAAAAAAAAAATCGCCGTACAACTTAAATTTGTGGTTGTTGTTAGGTGTCATCCGGTTAGTTCCAACTCATAGTGACCCTATCCACAACAGAACTAAACACTACCAGGTCCTATACCATCCTCACAAACATTGCTAGGTGTGAGCCCACACTTGCACTGTATCAGTCCATCTCATTGAAGGTCTTCCTCTTTTTTGCCGACCATCTACCAAGCACAGTGTCCTTCTCCAGGGATGCATCTCTCCTGATAATGTGTCCAAAGTACATGAGACAATGTCTCACCATCCTCACAACTAAGGAGCATTACAGCTGTACTACTTCTTCCAAGAAGATTGTTCATTCTTCTGACAGCCCATGGTATACTCAATATTCTTCTCCAACACCATAATTCAAATGCATCAATTCTTCTGTGGTCTTCCTTATTCGTTATGTAGTTTTAACATGCATAGGTTGCTGTTGTTGTTATGTGCCATCCAGTCGGCCCCAACTCATAGCGACCCTTCCTTGGGTTTCTGAGGCAGGATCACTACGGAAGTATATTGCCCAACCTTCCTTCCGAGGAGTGGCATAGGAGGCAACTGAAAATAATACAGCTTGGGTCAGGGGCACCTTAGTCCTCAAAGTGATACGTTTGCTCTTTAACACTTTAAAGAGGTCTTTTGCAACAGATTTGTCCAATGCAATACATTGCTTGATTTCTTGACTATTGCTTCCATGGGCATTGATTGTGGATCCAAGAAAAATGAAATTCAATCTTTTTTCCATTTATCATCATGATTTATCATCATGCTGCTTATTGGTCCAGTTGTGAGGATTTTTGTCCTATATTGAGATGTAATCCATACTGGCTGGTCTGAGTGCAGTGGGGTTTACAACTAATTGATCACAGTCAGTAGTCTTTGATCTTCATCAGTAAGTTCCTTTTCCTCTTCAGGGAACAAGATTGTGTCATCTGTATATCACAGGTTGTTAATGAGTCTTCCTCCCATCTTGAAGCCATGTTCTTCTTCATATAGCCCAGCTTCTCAGATTATTTGCTCAGCATACAGACTGAGTAAGTATGGTGAAAGGATACAACCCTGATGCACACCTTTCCTTATTTTAAATTGTTTACACAAATAAGCAACCTGCTTAATGCACAACTTTTATGTTTTAGGTGTTGTAGATCTTCCAGTGCCTTGTATATAGTAATAGCTCAGTTACACAGAAAGAATATAGCTAGGGCATTGGAACATGATAATTTATTTTAGTGCTATTTTTAAAACCACTAATAAACACTCCAAGTGGCAGAATTGAACCTCTGCTCAACTGAGTCTTCCTGAGTTCTTGTGAGAGAAAAAATGTATAAGAGAACCACACTCTTATCTACATATGAACTCCCTGTAAATCTACTTGTAAAATCAGACTATTAAAATTGGAACTTTCATAAGGCAGTCTAGACTTAAGTACTATCAAAAGGAAAATTAGTTATAAAAGTAATAAACGCACAACATAGTAGTTTCTATCCATCATATTTCAGAGAAATAATGTTCTTTCTTCCCCCCCCCCAAAGTTATCTAACCAAGCAACATATAATCTGTAACTATTAGGATTTGCCTTATAGTAAAGCTTGATTTTAAAAAGTCTGACACTTCACTCACCTACTGCAGGACAGAGTATTGCACATATACTGATACTAAACACAATTTCTTGTGTTTAGAAATTCAGTGCCACAATTTGGCTTATGATGCATCTGTAAGCAAACAGGCTGACAAGCACCCTAGTGTATTTCAGGATGACTGACAGGACACAGTGGCTCAAGCAGGAAGGGGGGATGGGTGCTCTTAAAGCAATATGCCTATGAAGGGCAACTTCCATCAGCAAAATCAGACTTGAAATTATAGTCTTCAAATGTGCAATGAAATGATTTGAAATAATTCAATATAAACTTTTTAACATAACTTTCATGTGCCTTGTGTGCCCCAAACACTGTAAATTCCAAAGAATCTTTGAGAATTTGCAAGAGTAGGAAAAAAAATTTTAAAACAAGCATGCTATATGACACTTCTTCGAACCTATTAAGTTTCTAAATTATTTAAGAATATGCTAGTTATTTTTAATAGAAATTGAATCAGGGTATCTAAATAAAAGCAATTGTTATCTCATCTCGAGACACTTGTCAATCACCTTTATAATGATAACATAAGAACAACTAATGAAACTAATGTAAAATACCTTGGATTCAACACAATTGTTACTTGGAATGGAAACAGGAGATCCATGTATTTTTGCATCCTGCTATGTTCCTTCTCTACGGTTTACTTTCATGGTGAAAGGAACTACCAAATGATTAGGAAATCCCAAATAATTGGGATTCCATGCCCATAAGGGTATTTCCATATTCACTTCAAGCTGGAAAATACTTCTTTAAGTGATATATTAGCTTCGTTCTTTCCATTTTTTGTTCTACTTATATTTGCTATATTATTTCATAATTCTGCACTGCTCAGTCCTTTTAAAACTAATACAATTACAGCCCTAGTCTTGTAAAAAGATTAAAAAAAAAAAAAGCCGTTCACTTTTAAACGCAATCCCTCATTTAACCACCAGGGTGTGCGGTTGAACACGGAAAGCCCAGCGTATGGCAGCCAATGAATTTACTTTTATACTTCAACTAGCAACTGGGATACAAATATTCCATTTTATTTTGCCTATAAAAATGTGAAGCCAGCTTTGTGTTTAGTGACTCTCCCCTGTGAAAAACTCTACCACTGTTATCTTCCCCGACCTCTCCCAGTCAGATGCAGATTCCTCCTACTCAGAGAAAACCACCAGAAAGTTAAGAACTAGAGAATTGGGTAAAACCAAAAAAAAACAAACCCAAACTCACTGCCATTGAATCAATTCCAACTCATAGCGACTCCCTTTGGGTTTCCGAGGTGGTAAATCTTTAGGGAAGTAAAGTGGTAAACTGCCCAGTCTTCTTTCCAGGAGTGGCTGGTGGGTTTGAACTGCCAGCCTTCTGGTTAGCAGTCAAATGCCCTAGGCACAGCCATCAAAATGACTTTCTATAATCCTAAATTTTTCTGGGACAAAAACCAAGCATAGAGACAATCATAAAACCCTACATAAAGAGTCCAAACCACATTAGAAAATCCAAACTAAGTCCTCAAGAAAATCCAAACTAATCCTAAAGAAAACAGAACACAAAACTAAACTAATAAAACAAAATAGTAGCTTCTATTCATTATATTTCATAGAAATAATGTCCCTTCATTTCCCCAAAAGTTATATAACAGAGCAACAGATAATCTGTAATTAGGATTTGCCTTACAGAAAAGTCTGATTTTAAATCTCTCCTCAAAATTATATGTAGCATTTGTTAACTGTTAACAAGTATTTTTCTAATTGCCCCGTTTAGTATTTGCTAACTGTCCATTGTATATTAGGCGCTACGGTGCTAATTTTAAAAGCTATGCTTCCTGTTATCTCAACATTATTGCATTTCTCATGAGCATGCAGTGTTATAACTAACAAATGCCCCATACAATCTACAAGGTCGTTGTTTTACAACCCAAGCTCACTTCAGTTTGGAAAACGTGAACATAAATTTACCCAATTTACTCTAAAAATACTACATAATTAGCTAAAACTCATTAACTACCACAAATTTAACTTGAGTGAAAACAAAAACTTTCTATGCTTCTCTGAAGCTACTATTTCCCAAACATCCAACTTATTAAATTCACTATGGCAACAATAATTTTTTTTTTTTTGTAAAATAGATCTAAAAGCTCAAAGGGCGATCTCTCCTTCCTTTCATGCCCTCAGAGTTGTCACTAATGACACATCCTTTCTGCTAACATATTAAATTTTCCAAAAAAGAAAAGAAATAATCATTTTCTTCATCTTCCTCAACTGTCATTCAAAATAGAAAACTACAGTTTCTTTTCCTTTAAAAAAAGATTCTACTTCTGATAGTAAATGCAAATTTGGGATTCTTACTGAAATTAATGACTCTGAAATCAGTTATCATACCTGAATATGCCAGTTTTTCCTCATATAATAATCAATGTTATCCATGTAAAAATCATATTTTACTCATAGAAATGAAGTATAACATCTCTTCAACTGTTACAGATTCTTCTATGAAATTTTATATCTTTTCTTTCATTTTCTAAACTGACACCATACTATTCATTTCTATAGTATAAAACAGATACTTAGAATTATTTCTCAAGTTAATTTATAGGATAAGCCTCAAGAAGAAAAGGGAAAGTCATTTGTGTCCATATTTTGTTTATCCTTGTTGCTAGTCATCCACAAATTTTGACAACAAATTTTTGTCAAACAACAACAAATCTTGACAACAAATTTTTCCAAATTTTACTTAATTCTACTGTACTTCCCAACTCTTTGTTTGCTACCTGATGCCAGCTCCATTGAGATTTTTTTTTGTTTTTGTTTTTGTTTTAAAATAATCATGCTACATTGCTTTTAGTGATGGAAAAGACTGAATGACTGACTGGTGAACATACATTATTCATTTAAAAAATAATCCTTTTTACAGAAAAAATTCACCACCCAATTTATTCTCTATTTTCATTTTCAATACATTTTGCATATATTTCATTTCATCCTCAAAAATGTATTACCTCCCTACAGACAACAAAGATGAACACTTTTGCACATACAGTACTGCATTGTCAGTGAAGGCAAACATGAGTATACGGGTGGATAGATGGGTGGACAGGCTGAACTATTAAATATGTCTATGAAGCAGGGAGTGTACCCAAGAACATGTATAGGGTTGGCAGACAATGGTCCTATAAGTGTATTTGTATGATCTGAATTTCCAGATGTATATAGTAGAGCTGACAAGGGACAAGGTTGTAGTCACTGCTTGGTCACAGCCAGCTACCCAGAGGGAGTGAGTAGTTGAACCTGTGGGCTCAGGACCATAGTCACAGGGGACATCAAGCTCAATTGGCATGACATACTACATGAAACACTGTTCCACCTCCTACTTTGGCAAGTAGCAACTGGGATCTTAAAAGCTTACAAGCTGCCATCTAGATGCAAAAATGGGTCTCTCCTCGTCCAGAGCAAAGAAGAATGAAGAAAACCAAAGATTCATGGAAACAATTAGTCCAAGCAACTGGTACACCATGTGATCTGCAGCCTACACAATTATGAGACCAGAAGAACTAGATGGTGCTCGGCTACCATTGTCAACCACTCAGAGCGGGATCTATGTAGGAGATCCTGGATAGAGAGGGAGAACAATATGGAACAAAACTCAAAATCATTTGGGATAAAAAAGGGGCAGGGGACCAGGTTTGCTGGTCTGATAGAGCCTGGTGCGACCACTGAGACTATGGCCCCTAGCTGCCCTTCGGGTATGGAATTGAACCCACACCTGTGGCTTCCAGCCAAACAAAAGACAGGCATATGAGTTGAACATTTACCTGAGGTAAATACACTCCTTGGAGAGAACAATCATGGGAGAAAGAAGGGCTGTTTATGCACAAGGAGAAATCTCAGGGGGCAGGAGTGCATGGAGGGATGGACACAGGGAAGAGGTAACTATCGGGAGGAAGTGGGAGGGGAGCTGTTGCATTGTGATAAATTGTAGTCAATGTCATGAGACAAAGTGTATGTGAACTGCTGTATGGAAAGTGAATTTGCTCTGTAAATTTTCACCCAAATCACAATTTAAAAAAAAAAAAAAGAAAGAAAGAAAAAGTGTATTACCTCCCTAAACTATCACAATGGGTCTGTAACAGGTAGTATTCACACAAATAAGCAGGTCTACAGTAAGCTCTGCTCTGAGTAGCAGCAGGTATGTTAAGCCTAAGGTGAGTGTTTAGTGTGAATGCATTACATCCTACAGACCAGCTGGAAATGCAGACTATGGGCACTCAGGAGAAAAACAGAGCCTAGAGATAGAGATTTGGCCACTCTCGAGCTGTGTTACACTCTAAACTGTGAGACTAGATGAGTTCTCCTAAGGTTGAAAGTAGAGGGAGATAAGGCAGCCAAGGATAGTGTTTTGCAAAACAAGTGCCCATGAAGAATGGGAGCAGAAGAAATGTCATGAAAAAATAGGCAGAAAAAACAAGGCAAACTAGGTTCAAATTCAAGCTCAACTTTACCCTGCTCAGCCTCATCCACAGTGACCCTGTTTTCTACATGTTGTAAAATAAGACCTGTAAAGTTCTATGGAGAGGAATGACTTATACAATTACACAGAGAATTCAATGGAGTACTGATACAGTGCTACAAAATTCATTAATCAATTATTGTTATTTGTGGAAATAATATTTCTCTTTGTGGCGCTCTGCTCTTCCATACCAACATGCTATTGAATTTTAGATGGCTGTCTTGAGAGATATCGAACAGAGTTCTTGTCTGTTTTAAAATGCACAAAGGATCATTAACATTCGCAGATTTTATTTAGCAAAGGGAATCTGTTTCACCAAGGGAAGTCATCTAATCCACCCTTGATAATAATTTATAACTAGACAACAAGGAAACATGGTTCTAAAACGGAAGAACTTAAGAGTTGCTTCTTGAGAAAGAAGACAAAAACTTGATAGAGGAAATGAAAGACAGACTAACACATATTAATAAATTGTGTACATATATTTAAAGGAAGTAGTATGAGATGGTTAAAGAATAGAATACTGAACTGAAAGCAAAACAATGACAATAGGTAAAAAAATAGAAACTGCTGTGTCTTATTTCCATGTAAGACTTAATGGAGTTGTGCCAACTTTCTT